GTCCCTGCTGATACAAACACCATGAGCTGGAGCTGTCTAAAACACAGCAAACAGAAACACAGGGGTGCTGACCGAAGGGGACGTAAACAGAGCCAGAGCAGGCATAGAAAAGGAGAAGCACTTACCTTGGGTGAGCAGCAGGGCTGTGGGGAGAGAAGAACATGAGAAAGACAGGGAGAGAGAAGAAAAGAGGGAAAAAGTTAATATCCAAGGGGGAAAAGCTGTTTTGCAGATGATGGCTGTCAGTGAGCAATGGACGTGGTGCAAGGCGGTGTGCGAGCTCGCTGGGGCCACATGCTGTGTGCAGGCTGGGGATCAGACCCTGCGGCAGCAAGATGGGAGAGGATGATGGCAAGCACTGGTGGGCACCGGGGTGCTGGCTCCCCAAAGTCACACACCCCTGCAAGCGAAGGCACAGGGATGGGATGCAGGTGGGGAGTAGCAAGGAGGGGAAGGGGAAAATGGGTGTGTGTGGGGGGGTGTGTGTGTGTGTGTGTGTGTGTGTGTGGTGTGTGTGTTGGTTACACTTGCCATCAGTGCCTGACGTGACCCAAACTGATCTGAAGGCACGGCAGGTGCCCCTGCTTCAGCTGGGAGCGTGTGGTTGGGGTGGGACTTGGGACAACCAGGGATGCCCCGGTAAACCCTCAGGTGTCTGAAAAAAGAGGGTGGCCAGGGTGATGGGCAGCTCACTGAGAAGAGCACCATCAAGGAGAGGTGTTGATAAAATGGGTGCTGGCCTCCGTGTGAAACGGGGCAGGGGGTAACACGTCTGTGCATCATCCCCCGGGACGCCCTGGCTCGCCTACACCTATCCTGCATCCCACAGGTACTGGTCCCAGAGGGTCATGGTGCCAAGAGGAACACAGGCACAAGTAAAGCATCACTGCTCTGAGTCCTCCTGGCTCTCTCTGCTCCCGATCGCAGGGCTGCCCGACAACGCTGCATGGGCACGTAACTGCAATGTCATCGCAGCGGGATGCAAGCGCCTCCCGGGAAATGTGGCCATGTAGTCCTGTGAGATTAGAGGTGGGAGGAAGGGAGGAGAAGGGAGCGAAGGTTCTTGCAAGGGACGACCTTACCCTGACTTTCCATACAGGCACAGCCCAGCCCTCTCGCTGCCTCGGGCAGTGACCCCTGGCCCCCCCCACCTTGATTTCCCCACTCCCGAGAGCTGTCACCAAGAAACATCTGGCTGGATCCCTCTTAGGTGTTACCCCTAGAAAATCAATAGCCTGCATCTAAGTTTCAAAGTGACTACGGGAGAGTCCGTACAGCAAAGAACACTGAACCCCTTTGAGAGGGGCCAAGGACCAGCTCTGTGCTGTAGCTTTGACTTCTACCCGTCCTTCAAACAGCAAACTGGTCCCCAAAGACTTGGTTGCATGCGATGACGGTATTGTAATTACTAACAATTATTATCATGCACTTTTAGTCTCAGAAGCTTAAAACTCTGTGCAAAGACTGAGTCAGTATTAACAGCCCCATTTGACAGATGGTGAAGCAAGCAAAGAGAGGCTAAAGGGAACATTTTGCAAACTCAGAAGTGGGCTGGAGTCCAAAAGTGCTAATTTACCCAGGCTTGCCGGTTCAGGCTCTGAGAAGCAGGCACTTTTATACAGAGGCACCTAATTACATCCATGCTGGTGTGAAAGTGATTTCCTAAGCAATTCGTCAAAGGTCACACAGAGCATCAGTGGCAGAATGGGGGAAAGAAATCCTGAGCCCTGGCTCCCAGGCACGACTCTGCTCGTCGCGCAGCACCCATGGGCACAGCTTTCCCAACAGCCTGCGGAGACGCATCGGCCCAGTCAAGGTCTTCACCCACCTATCCACCTCCCTGGCTGGAAATACTCGGGGAGATCTCCCCTATCCATGCGGGCAGGTAGACGCGCAGTGAAAGGGGAAGGGGGCAATGACGAGGCTCCTTGCTGAGCATCCCTTGTGTTTCAGGGTCAATTCCTTTTGAGAGTCAAAAATCTTTCAGGGGAACCATTTGTGAACACATTCTGCAGCACGTACAGTACGACAGAGCCATGAGAAGCACACAACCTGCTCTGCCCGTGCCACCTCCTGCCCTCCACGCAGCTCTGCCTGGAAGTCTCCAGCAGGCCTGTCACTGCTCCTTGAGGCATCAATCTTGAGTCTCCTTGTAGCTCCGTCCTGCTGCAGCTCCATGCTAACCTGTGGCCTCCTTACTGTTCCACAGTCTTCTGGTTCTCCAGACAATGTGGGGAAATTTAATTTGCCTTTTGCAATTACAAGCATTAGTACAATGGGTCGATTTGGTGTTCAAATTTAATATAATGAAATATTACTGGGCCCCTAAGCTACTGTGGTTATTAAAAAAAAAATCATTGGTTCCTCATGTTTTTTAAAACTGTTATTCTAGTGCTCTGGGATTTGAGTTTATTTTTTTCCCCATTTGCTTTTCAGCCTGCAAAAGAACTATTTTTCTCCCTTTCACTTATGATATGATAACATGAATATTTGAAGAAGCCTATAAAGCTATGAATGAAACATCAAGAATACAGCATGCAGAAAAGCCAAGGGATTATTTTATCTTTATATTTCTGACTGAATGCTGTGCATGCAAGCAAGAAAATGATTTCACGGACTAAAGCTTCCTTCCTGCACATGCATCTGCTAATATGCCCTTAGCCCTGACCTGTAATGTTTCCTGACAGTCCATCTGGGGATGCTGTACCTGTACTGGTCCTGCTGACGGCCCCCCGTGCTGTTCCCAGCCCACAAGTCTCCCTTCGCTGCCCCCAGCCTGGGCTGCATCCCTCCCTCCCTCCCCAGGGCACCTCTCCTCCTCCTGCGCTCCCGCTCTGCACATCACACTCCTGGCGGGGCCAAGCCAGGCCACCTCGGTGCTGCTGGCATCTCAGGTAGCCTCAGAGGCTTGACATGTGTATCCTTACAGGGAGCTGCTAAAATTAGCTCCACAGTCAAATCCAAAGTAGCAGTCCCAAGTATCCCTTACCTAACCCTTGCACGGCGTGAACGCAGACACACGCCCGTGCCCGCAGACAGGGTAGGTGACGCTGACTCTCTCAGGAGATCCAAAGCCTTCAGCTCTGGATCCCAGTTCCTCCTTTACTGGGATTTCTCTGCCCTGCAGGCCTGTTTTCTACCAGGCAAAGACAAAATTGTGTGCATGAACTCTGCTTCCCCTGTCACCCCTGAAACTGGACAATTTAGACCTGAATTTAGCTGCTAAAGAAGCTAATTACTAATAAATTATTTTATCTGCATGCCTTCAGCATACTTAGGGGTGAAATCCTGCTGTGATGTGCATGTTGGTGTGGGTTACGGATCCGGAATCGAAGTCCCTCTTGCTTTAACTCTGCTGAAGCCAAAGAAGGTTAAACCGAGAGGAAGCAGGCTTGGGATGGGAGCAGACCAGCAATCGGGCAATCAAGTAATTTACCGCAACCCAATGTGCTAAATGTGTGCCCCAGCCTTTTTCTAAACAATGAAATACCTTTTTCTGCTGTTTACCTTGCAGAGAGATTTGACCACGCTGCACGCTTTATTCTGGTCTCATTCTTCATTAACATAAATCTTTCCTGATCAATGTCCCTAAAGACTCCAGGAAGCTGCTGCATAGATAAGAGGATCCTTGCTAAAGGCTACGGAGCGAGCTGAAATGAGGGAGAGGAGGCTGCTGTGGATTTTGAGGAGACCCTCAGTCACACACTGGGGCAGTGACAAGCAGCCAAAGGCAAGAACACACTGCCTGCACCCTGTGCACACCCAGAGGAGCTCAGTGACCATGCAAACCGTGGGCTTTGTTCCCCAAAGAGGTAAGGATCCCCCACCTTCCAGACCACAGTCTCTGCCTCCAGATTTGCTCACTGAGGTGAGCAAACTGTTTCCCTAATGGACTGTGAAGAGCTATAAACACTTTTTTTTTTTTAAAAAATAAGCTAAAGAAGGCAGATATTTTGCAGCATTAATGTGAATGCTGTTACTATTGAAGTCCATAGCAAAGCTCTTGCAGGCTCGAAGAGACTCCTCTCCATCAGGAGAATCAGCAGTGTTCAGCTTAATCACAGAGCTACAAACAAATTATTAAACCTTCGGGGAAGGAGGTAACAGCAATCTAACATTTCTTTGCCATTCCCATCAGCAGCTGATGGAACAAGGAGTTTCTCAGCATCTGCCCACACTTCAGAAAACTGCAGCACGTGTGCTCATGTATCGATGCAGCTTATCTTAATCAGACATGGACCTTTGTACCAAGTCAGATCATTTCATCAATATTTTGAAACAGATAACTTGCTTCATCAATCCAAGCTAGGAATCCTTCTTCCTTTGCAGTTTAATCCTTACCCTGTGACTCCCAGCCACATCGTCCCCCTGTAGCACGAAACTTTCCCATCAGGGGTGCTGACACTTGATTGAAAGGAGATGTGTTATGAGATTTGTCCACACCAGTTGACTCTGTGCTGGGAGGGCTGAGAGGACTTCAGACAAAATCTTCCCAAGCCAGGTCAGGCCAGCAAGCTGTTTAATAGTGCTCGCCAGACACCCGTGCTCCCGTTTCCAGTGAAGTCGTATCTTGTGGGAGACATGCTCTCTGAGGCAAAATTTTGCATGAAGGATGGTGGTCCCTTTTACAAAGCGTAACCCTCAAGACTCAGCCTTCATGCACCACCTGAGGGTGAATCTTCCACTGCTGTGCCACAAGCTGAATTCTCACGAGCAGACTCCCAATTACCCTCGTGAAACTTAATTTTCTAAATGCTATTTTCACCATTATCTGCTATCAAGTGAAAACATCCAAACTAGCCTCACTTGCCATTCTGGCCCCATCGACACTAAGGTTAGCCACAATTTAAGCAGAAGACCGACTTCTTCCGGGGAAAGCAAAGCAAGTTTTTCTCCTGTAATCCAGGACCAGAGACAAAGTGTGAGAGCTGACATGTGAAGCAAGTAAAACCAGCCTGGATTTCTCCAAAATCCTGCTGGGCTGACAGCAGCAAAATCCTTGGTCTGAGTTGTGAGCTGACATGACACCAGAGCTGCCATGAGAGCGAGAGTCAAATCAACGGACAGCTTCTTGTCATAAAGAGAAAGACTTGTTTCACTGCAGGAACTCTTTACAAAGGTGCTGAAAAAAATATGACAGAAAGGTGTCTCAGGGGGCTGGGAGGTTTGAAAGCCCTGCAGTGCTGAGTATACAGGGATTTGGTTTATGTGACTGCACATACGGAGGAAAGGTGAGCCAAAAAGGATTCAGAGATTAATTTCTTAGCAATGGAGAAGAAAAAAAATATCAGGAAAACCGGGAGATGGCCAGATAATAGCGAAAAGCAACACTTGCTCTTATCATCTTTGCCAAGCAAAGAATGTGAGTCTCTTTGATTTCTTTTCATTTATTCCCTTCAATATAACCAGCTTGCAGCAAGCACCATCTTTGCTAGTGCTATTTGCACCTGATATGCCACGACTGAGTCAGTATCAGTCTTCATCACAGACTGGGCTGGCAAGATACCCATCGCAGATCTATTCTCATCTCTTTGAATTATTGGAGCACATCAACAAAAAGAGCTGCTAAAGTAAAACTACTTCATGTGATTTGTTTAGATGATCAGAAAGTCTTTGAAAAACTCCAGCTGCAGAAAGCAATTGGTGAAAAAGAATAAAAGGGCCGCAGATTAAGGTTTGGTATTGTAGATGTAACATTTATATAAGGGGGGGAAAGCAAAGAGCAGGAGTAAGTGGTCAGCTCTCCTCATGGCAAGGGTTAACAACCGAGTGCCCCATGGCTCAAAGCAGCATGGCACTGATATAATTGAGGGTGAACAGTGAGGAGCAGCATCTGCAGATGATGCAAAATGCTTCAGTCAAAAGGCTGTTTCAGTGGCTGTTACGCATCGTGGAGGCTCTGAGCAACCTGAAGACGGGAACTCGTGTTTGAATCACCCCAGGTACCTCCCTGAGTAGTGATGTTTTCCCCCAGTAAGGTGCAAACAGCAAGAGCAATAGGATGAATTTCCT